GAGTTATGGTGGAATTGGTTATGTCAGTACTAAATGTTCTGAAAGAAAATAAATCATTTGAAATTAACAAGTCAGATCTAACAAATTTAATAAATCTAAAAATAAAACAAAACAAAAGAAAAACAATATTTTAGGTATAGTTAATTTTTACTAAATTTAACAATATAGATAAACAGTGCGCTCTTGGGCGTTACTCAATTAGTTATATTTATTATTATAGATTATAATAATTTTAATATTAATTTACCAATGGATACAATAAATATCTGTCAATGGAATTGCCGTTCGGCAATGGCCAACAAAATAAATTTAGAAAATCTCCTAGCCCAAAATAATATACAAATCGCTATACTATCTGAAACTTGGTTTAAACCAACTCAATACGTATCTTTCTTTGGTTACAATGTTATCCGCAAGGATCGTCAAGATGGAAAGGGAGGTGTAGCTATCCTTATAAAAACAAATATCAAGTTTACTGAGATATTGTGTCCCACATTTAATAATATTGAGTACACAGGCATCAAAATTAAAATAAATAAAACCGAACTGAGTCTTATATCTGTTTATATTAAGCCACAAGCAAAAATCACGGTCCAAGCCTGGACTAGATTTTTTTCTGGCATTAAAAGACCCTTCTTGATCGGAGGGGATTTTAATGCACATAATGTAGCATGGGGATGTGCGGATAACGACATTTACGGTACAGATTTGTTGGAAGCAATAGACCAAAATAACATAATATATTTAAACAACGGAAATTTTACACGTCTTAACCCATCAGGAGGTCGACATTCAGCGATTGACTTATCCCTAACAACCCCATGTTTCCAACAACTATTAGAATGGAATACAATAGAAGATACATACGGTTCGGATCATCTACCAATAAAAATAATTTGTAACATCTCACCAAAATTTGTCCCTATAAACCAACTGAAAAAGTGGAATATAAAAAAGGCAAATTGGGACTTTTTTTACACTGAAAGCGTTGAAAAGTTTGGAAAACTAGAAAATAATACTTATAACGGTTTTATAGTCACTTTAAATAATGTTTTAGATATAAGCGTTCCGAAACTCCAGGTAAAAAATAATAAAAGTAAGGGCGGCAAATCTTGGTGGAATGAAAAATGTAGCAAAGTAGTTATGGACAGGAAAGAAATATTTTTAGAATACAAAAACAATCCTAGTTTAGAGAATTTAATAAATTATAAGAAAATAGATGCAAGAGCTAAAATAATTTTGAAGGAGGAGAAAAGGAAAAATTGGGAAAAATTTTGCATGTCTTTGAACAAAAATACTCCAATAAAAAAGGTATGGCAAAAAGTAAATAGTTTCAAAAACCGAAAGATGGAAAACAAAATATTAAGCAGTTTAGAAGACCCCTGGATAGAGGAATTTCACAATAAAATTACCCCACCTTACGTCACAAAACCAATATCCCAAAACAATATAATTACCTATGACTCAAGTTCTCTAAACCAACCATTTGAAATAGACGATCTGGAAAGAGCTCTGAAAAACAACAATAACACCGCTCCGGGAAAAGATAATATACATTATTCAATGCTATCCCATCTGCCAATTAGCGCGAAGAAAATATTATTGAATATTTATAATCAAATATTTTCTGGAAATCACCCCATTCCTGAAGAATGGACCGAATACATTATAGTACCAATTTTAAAGCCTGGAAAACCTCAAAATTCATCATCATCTTACAGGCCAATAGCATTAGCTTCATGTTTACTGAAAACTTACGAAAGGATTCTTAAAAATAGATTAGAATTTTGGATGGAGAAGAAGAAAAAATACCCGGAGAGCCAGTATGGGTTCAGACGAAACCACTCTGCACAGGAAGTTCTAGCGAGACTGATAACCGACATTCAATTAGGGTTCACAGAAAACGAGAGTACTTCGGCTCTATTCTTAGATATACAGGGAGCATGTAAATTACGACATCCTCATCAGAAAAATGGATAGCCTAGGAATCCCTTCAAAAATGACACATAACATATACCGTTTATATAATACCCGTTTAATATATATTAAGACAAACGAAGGTTTTACAGATTCCAGAGTAGCTAATATTGGACTTCCACAGGGAAGCATTTTAAGCCCTCTATTATATATCATATATACCTATGATCTAGAAACCTTGTTTGATGATAAAATCAAAATTCTCCAGTTCGCTGACGATGTATGTATTTACTCAAAAAACAAATCAATAACTAACAGCAACGACGAACTTAAACAAAAATTCTCAGAAACCGTAAAATGGTTTAACAAAAACGGCCTATCCCTCTCAGCTGATAAGTCAACACTATGTACATTTACAAGAAAAAGAACTCAACTACCACAAGAAATATGTATGATGGAAGATATAAAAGTTCCCTACAAAAACACAGTTAAATACCTCGGAGTAATTCTGGACAAAAAGTTATTGTGGAAAGACCATATACACTACCTTATCAAGAGAACCGAAAATGGAGTGAACGTTCTAAGAGCATTTAGTCACCAAAAATGGGGCGCGGACCCAAACATTGTACTAATGTTTTATAAAGCATATGTCAGATCAATTATGGATTATGGAAGCCAATTTTATGGATCAGCCGCAGAAACACATCTTAATAAAATTGAAGTTGTCAAAAATAAATGTTTAAGACATTGTGTGGGATTTTTGAAGAGCACTCCTATTCCAGTGATTGAATCAGAAACAGCTGAACCACCATTATATTTGAGAAGAAATCACCTCAGTGACAAACTTTTGTTAAGACTCATTGCCAAAAACAGCGAAATAGTTACAAAAATACATAATCTAACGATACTAAATTATACAAAAAATTACTGGAAAATTAAAAAATCTCCCCTATTAGTGATAAGTTATTCTTGGATAACCCAAATAAAAGATAATATTTATTCATCAGACATATCTCTTTACGGACAACTACAAGAAAATTTTGGTAAATATCTTCCAAACATCATAAATAATTCTTATGAACAGAATGACCCACATATTTTAAAAAACTTATTTCGCCAAGATATGGCCACTATCGGGCAAAATGTAGAGCATATATTCACTGACGGGTCACTTTTGAATAATAACACAGGTTGTGCCTTTTTTCATAAAAATAAAAACATATCTAGGCAGTTTAGATTATTGAACAATACTTCAATATATTCTGCAGAACTTTGGGCTATATGGGAATCACTTAAATACTGTGTAGAATATAACGAAAATGATAATTTTGTAATATTCACTGACAGCATGAGCTGTCTACAAACTATTGTAAACTGTACTCACAGAGTTCCTACAAACTATATTTTAGTCAATATTCTAAATATTTCTAAACAGTTGAAAAATCTTAACAAAAAAGTTACTCTAGTGTGGGTAAAAGCTCACATTGGAATAACTGGAAACGAAATTGCAGACAAATTGGCCAAAGACGCCACAAAGATCGAAAATTTTGCAAATCATTTTTATCTTCCACACTCAGATATTTTTAGAATATCAAAAAAACAAATGTATGATGAGTGGCAAGAGATTTTTGATAAATCAAATAAGGGTCAGATTTTTAAAACTATGTTTCCAAAAATTCGTAAAATCCCATGGTTTCACATCGAATCAAACAGAAACTTTATTAGAATAATTTCACGCTTAAGAAATCAACATGCACTATATCCAAAACATAAGAAAAGGATTGGTTTGCAACAGGACGAAAACTGCGAGTGCGGAGAAATAGGTGATTTAGAACATTATATTTTATATTGGGTTGTATTAGACATAGAATGTATATAGCCAATATTTATGACGATATCCTTAAATTAGACTCAGTAGACTTACCTTTTAATATATATTATCTCATATGTATAGAAAATATACAAGTATATAAATCATTATATAAATTCATTACACATAGAAATATTACATTGTAAAACTACTAAAGAAAAAAAAAAAAATAAAAAATAAAAAAAAAATAAAAAAAAAAAAAAAATACTATCAAAACACTGAAATTCATAATCACTTATGATGTAACAACAAAAATATTAAGAAAATAATAAATAAATAAATAAATAAATAAAGATCTAAGAAAAAAAAAAAACAAAACAAAATGTCAATTAAATAACACAAACAAAAAAACAGACGATGGCAAAAAAATATATATATGTATGTATTATTATCTAAACTAATCTTAGTTTGTAGTTACCATTAAAAAATGAATTAGTACCTAAGGTAGTTAGAAAAAAAAAAAAATACATAGATGAACAAAGAGAGATACTGGCCAGTTGGTTTAAACCAGAGCCACTAAACGTATTAAAAAAAAAAAAAAAAAAAATTCAAAGCCGCATAACTTTTTTAATATTTATCTAATTGCGCTGAAATTTTTGGTGTGTGCTATATGTGAGTAATACTCCATAAAAATATCAAAAAACGTGGTAAATGAAACTTCACTGATGCCCACTTGCACCGTATTCGCTAACTCACTGTTTAAAATAACACATTGTTAAAATTTAAGCAATTGATTAAATTGCAATCACTTGCACGGTAATTTAAGGGTACTTGGTTAAAACAAACTTATCAATTTGGGGAATTTTTGTCAAATTAAAATCGGTTGGTACTAACACCTAACTTCAGTCAGATTTATTTTGAGGTTAGAGGAATTATTTTCGTACATAATTTTTTGGCAGTCGCCGGTTTTTTTTTTCTGTTTTTGTGATTTTTTTGCGGTTTTTGCTGCAGTTTAACGAAAAAAAGTCTTCATAAGTAAAAATGGATTCAACCTCCACAAGTGCGAAACGGGTGCGAACGTCAAATTTCTCACAAAATGAAAAATCACATCTCATTGATATAATATCCAAATACAAAAGCATTATTGAAAACAAAGAAACAGATAAAAATACAAATACTGAGAAGAATGCTGCCTGGGATAGAATCACAGCTGAGTTTAATGCTTCGTTCACGGCAGGTGTGTATAGATCCAAAGAAAGTATAAAAAGACTATATGAAAATAAAAAAAAAAGAATTGAGAAAGAAGGCTGCTGATGCCAAACTGGAACAGAAAAAAACTGGTGGAGGCTTACCACCACCTAGACCGGATGAACCATTTGATGATGTTCTTTTATCGATAATTAATAAAAAAACAGTTTATGGGTTAGAAACACCCTATGGTGGCGATGTTTCGAGTGGTGATGAGGCAGAGCCATCTGAACAGCCCCCTAATGACATTGAAATTGTGTATGAGTATGCCCAAGATAGAGAAAGCATGGATGGGGATGTTATAGAAGAAGACCTCTTGGTAAGTTGTATCCAATATGCCTTGAAGTTTCGTTTTTTTGGTTTTTTTAGGGGTTCTGTCAAGATATCTCAATATAGCATTGTGCTCGAGATTGTGCTCTGATCCCAGGAAAGCACAGTCAATCTAATCTTGAAAAAAATAATTTTTTTATACGAATCCTTGGCTTTTCCGTATCTGTTTTTTTAGATTCTTTGTCTTTACTGCTATTTTAGTATTTTATGCAAGTATGTATATTTTTTAGGTAATGCCCAGCCCATGGAAAAAATATACAGCTACCGATTTGAAAAAACCATTATCCTCTGCTCTCAGGACAGAAGGTCAAAAGGAAAATAATGGATTGACGATGAACTATTGTGGTAAGATACCTTTTGAAAATATATATCACGGAGCTAAATAGTATACCAATAAATAGAATGTGAACCTTTTTCAGATATTCCCAGTAGAAACTCCCAACAAAAATCGGCTCAATCGAAGTACTCCTGCTTCCAATCGTCGAAGACCCACCGTACAGGTGAAAGCACTAACCTCTTCTGAGGTATTTGAGAAGTACAATCAGTTGATGGATATGCGTCTGGAGATTGCTGACTTCACTAAAAAACGGCTAGCTCAAGAATTAGATCATTCGAAGGATAAACATAAGAAGGAGATGGAACTGCTGGATCTGCAAGTTTTAGTAGAAAAGGAAAGGTTGAATAAGCTTAAACGACTTGATTATTAATTATTCATAATTTCTTTGCTCCTTTGCTTCACGATTTTATTATAATCCTGTCAGGTCTTTTTTTAAAAGCATCGCAAAATGAAATTGTGCCATTGAACATTGATGGTGCATCCTTATTATGAGTAGTATCAGTTTATATAAATAGTTCTATCCCTCTTGATTGAGAAAAGTTTTCAGTTTGTTTTTAGAGTTGCTGATTGATGATTTAGTTCCTTAGTGGTTTTTAATCAAACTTACTAATGTCTGCCCAGCGACTCTGTGTCTACGGGGCAACGGTAAGGGGAATGCAGCAAATGGCTGATTTCATTCATAAAATACCCAGCTGCGTGCGGAACTTTTTGGAAGTTTTATCGTATTGCAACTCCTACACGAAAATCGAAAATGACCAAACCCCCGCCACTGGATATTTCAATATAAATCGATATTCCAAGATGGGAGGATACAATGACGGAAGCCCTGGCCAATAGCGAGACGTAAGGTGAAGTTAGCCCATTGACAACGACATGGTTCCCCGTGGCAACGGCCATCCTGCCAAAAACTCCGCCAATCAGGTTCATCCAGGCCGGATGCTTGCCAAATTGTCAAAAACTGATGGTATCTTTAGAAAATGTTTATTTTTTACAATGGACAAAATTGAAGAAATCAGTTATTAGAATAAGAATAGATCTAACAACGACGTTGAAATATTTAGCGTTATATTTGGTATCTATATTTTGCTATTAAAAAATGGATTTTCAAATGAACTATACTACATGCCTAGTATTTTCGCTTTGTCATAATTAAACGTGACAACATGGCACATTTACGTCCGAATTCCTTCCGTAGACTCAGATCCGCTGGGCAAACAATACCTATGTTGTGATTTATGTTTTTAGTTGCATTTAGTACTTAGCAAGATGTTATGATTGTTGTTTGTTACAAGAAGTTTTTATTTTTTTGAAATAAAGCAAAGCAAGTTTTTCAAGAAGACAGTTTTATTTCTCATAATTAATAAATATTTTTTATCAACATTTTCACATAAATATTTAGATGGGTAGATTTATATTTCTCGAGTTCCATAAAAACAAATAATTATAAATTTGCAAAATATGCTTGAATGAGTTGTTTTGAATATTCAAAGGCTCTTGGGCAACAGGAACTTCAGGAATTTGGCCTTCTTCTATCAAGTATTCAAGTTCAGCCTGATTAATATCAGCTGGTATCGGCGGCTCTGGCTCATGCATCTGTCTTGCAATGTTGTGCAGGACTGCGGCAGCAGGAATAATGGATAAAACTGTATCCAGTTTTAGTCTTAGCCCATAAGCTTAGACTGGAAATCGTCTTTTCCATATCCCAAAAACTCTTTCCACAGATTTTCTTGTCCTTAACAGGATTAGCCAATGGCGTTAACAGATAATTTCTCTGGGCGTAACCACGATCTCCTAAAAAATGTTGTAGGTAAGTATATTACAATTGCACAGTTAAGCAAAGATGTTGGTGTAGCAGAAATTGTAATAGTGTGGTACCTACTATTAAAATATGTGGCCGCTGACGCCAATTTATTACTGTTCTGTTGCAACTTTACAAACTAAAACACTGGGCTAGTTTCTCAATAGCTAGTCACCTCCGGGTTGGTTTTGACTTTAGGGTAAGCGTGTCCAGTTTCTATGTTTACCCTGGAGTTATTTTTAACCCAGGGGTGACTTGCTATTGAGAAACCAGCCCTCTAGGTACTTACCTAACAAAATGGAATTGGAAAAATGGTTTGTTTCAAATTTTTGTCTTATTCTACTGTTGAGGAAGATTGTATTATCATGGCTTGATCCTGGCCATCTAGCTACTACATTTAAAAACTTCAGATCTGCATCAGTCACAGCTTGTGTGTTTATAGAAAAATACCCTTTTCTATTGCGTCATCGCCACCTAAAAGTCAGATTGAAGCAATTGTAGAGTGATCATAAAAGCACTAAAAAACTTTTTTAATAGGATATTTTATGTAACATTTTCAGCTAAGTGCCTCTATATTTGCCAAATGAAAAACATATTCAAATATTTCGAACAGCCTTCGGCAGGAAAGGGAGGTATTATCATATAGATATTTGAAGGCTTATAAACACTGTAATAATTACCTGGTGAATTTATTCGGATGTGGGTACAATCCACTATCACTAACACTCTGGGAAATCTTGCGATGTTGTAGAATTCTGTGTGGATTCTGAGAAACCTTCACAAACTCAGGGTAGAGTCTTGCCAAAACTGATGAGACTTTGGCTACTATCCTACTTGCTGTTGATTCGTGCATGCCCATAAAGTCGCCAACAGCCGATAGACCCTGATAACACAGGATTTTCCTGGGATATCCTGCCAATGTACTATGAAAGTATGAATGTCCCGTACCTTGATAATACATTCCCAGAATGTTTCAGATAGAATATAACTGGAATATTTAGATGTAATATTCAAGGAACATCCCTCAAATATTCCTGTTTCTTTGTTTTGTGATTTCTTATTTATAATTCTCAGCTTAGCAGCATATAAAGAGAAAAAACTTTTAAAAAAATCCCATTGCCAGATTCAGACCAACAAGACCAACGACCCAACTGCGCTTCGTCAGTTCGTCTATCAACCAGCAGTGTTGATTATGACGATACCCATTTTCGACGTTGTCAGATTTCTTTGGATGATTTTATTCCATATAAATATGATGAAATATACCTAGTAGTTTCATAAGTTTTCGAATTTTATATGTAATGTTTGTATATAAAAATACAATTAATAGGTTGTATATTTTTTTATATTGGCGATATTTTACTCGTTACACAAAAATAATATACGTGACAACTGGCAACGTCGAACAAAAGACGCACGTCACAAGCCACGGCACCTCACTTCATATTCATCACAGACAACCTAACCTCACTCCGAAAAAACAAGTCAGCAAATTTTATTGTTTGTTATTAATTTAGTTTTGTTTTAATTACAAAATAATCGTTTTATCGGTGGTCGGTTTTGAACAATAAAACGTTCGGTGCTTGGTTTGCTCGTGTTTTTATATGGTTTTTCGCAGATTTTTCCACGAATTTCCCACATAATTTTTCACTGGCTCTTCCAATTTTCGAGGTTTCGTTACCTTTTGCATTTTTGTGTTAGGTAAGTACTACATGTAGCCTGTTCAGTAATTTATTTAAGAGGTTTTTAGAGTGCTTACAGTGCTGAAGATGGATCCTACAGGAAAAAAGTATTGTTGAGCAACTAATTATTGTCAAAGGAACAAACAATCAAGTCATTCAGAACCTGATCTACAAGATGAGCATCAGAACCCGAGGCAGCATCCTTTCTCTAGTTCTACGCTCGTTTCTATGACTGAGAGGACATTTTACTTGGCTACTTAAGATTCTATGAAGATTTTAATCAGATACCTTCTACCGTTCTACCTGAACAAAGTATCAGCACGCATTATTACTCTTCAGAAAATGGAACTTTCTAGGAAACTGTTGATGCAAGTGTTGGATGTCAATTTACAATTTATAATTTGAATAATATCTATAATTAATAAACCTAAACAAAAGTGTGTCCCACTAGTTTATTTGTGGGATGTTCTGTGCATGTTCCTCCTATATCCCACAAAAATCCCGAATATACTATGTGGGATGATTGAAGATATTCCAGGAATGATTCAATAGAACATTCCTAGAACATCCATTTTGATGACAAAAGCGTCTCCTGGAATGTTCCAGGAATGTTTCAGGATCTAAACAGAATCTTCCAGGAATATTCTGATTGTCCCAACTAAATATTCTTTGAACATTCCTGGGATGTCTTTGTGTTATTAGGGGATGTCCAGAACTAGCATAAAATCGCAAAGTCGTTAGTAGCTGATTGATTGGAGACACACTGTGGTTCCTGAAACACCGTTTTACACTTCACATACCTACCTACTTGACCTGAACAAAACTTTTGTAAAATGATTGTTTCGGTTTAGTGCACTTACAAATCATGAGGAAACTCCAGGTCCTCCTCAATTCGCTCTAATATGCCAATTACGGTTGGTTTGAAGAGACGAAATCTCTTGAAAAAGGTGAGATTATCCATGTTGTGGAAGTGGTCGGCTCTATCATATAACCTTCGTGGTATAGTGTGGTGGAAAACCCATATCAACTATATCTAATATATCCATATCATCCTCTAGGAATATGTCGTCTTCCCAAAAATCCATTTTTTAGAAACTAATTAATTTTTGTCGGAATACGCACAGAGTAATCTTCTTTTGACTTTTGAGGTTACATACACTGTTTTGTGTTTTTTTTAGGTTAGAATTCGTACTAACTGTGGTTTATACCGATTTAAGCCTCCAAAATCGGTGGCTTAGTTCAACAGTGGCTTAGACGAGTTTAACCATGGCTTAAATTGCGGTGCAAGCCAAAATTCAGTAATAACTAATAGTTACATTTTAAACTACTGTTATACGGACGGTGCAAGTGGCCATGAACGAGCCTATTCGAGATATTAACCAGAGTCCGATTGTTTTGATGGGACACTGGACACCCTATACAGGGTGAAATTTTTAGATGGAATAAATTCATTATAAGAAAGCCTATTCATTTTAGGGAAAAATTTAAAAAAACGGGTCTGTTTATTTTTAGTTTGGCACATTTTTTCGGCCTTTTCATAGAATTTGCCCCTCTCTTCCCTGATAACACAGGATTTTCCTGGGATATCCTGCCAATGTACTATGAAAGTATGAATGTCCCGTACCTTGATAATACATTCCCAGAATGTTTCAGATAGAATATAACTGGAATATTTAGATGTAATATTCAAGGAACATCCCTCAAATATTCCTGTTTCTTTGTTTTGTGATTTCTTATTTATAATTCTCAGCTTAGCAGCATATAAAGAGAAAAAACTTTTAAAAAAATCCCATTGCCAGATTCAGACCAACAAGACCAACGACCCAACTGCGCTTCGTCAGTTCGTCTATCAACCAGCAGTGTTGATTATGACGATACCCATTTTCGACG